GGCTTGTGATCACCCTGATCACTAGCGAGCGACTGCACGCTGTCATCTTTGTGCTCACTGGGCACTGAGCTGTGCCCTCCCACAGAGCCCGCAGGAGCATCGTGAGTGCTCTCGGACTCGGCATCGTCCTCACTGCCCGAGTTGAACTCACGTTCCACGAACCGAGGGCTCGGACGATTATCTGAGATGAGGGCGACGGACTGCGGCGCTTGCTTGCGCGCTTGTCCACAGCCGCGTCACCCGAGGAACCGATCGCCTCGGAGGCCACCTGAGTAGCCTCCTTGAGTGCCGAGCCTTTGCCGCGAGGATTAGTGCTCTTGGCTTGCGCCTTACCGGCAGCAGCCTTGGAGCGTGTCTTAGCACCGCTCTTTGCAGTGCCACGAGGCATGATAACGGTCGAAGTGGAGACCTAGACGAAGAGCGCATAGGTTGCTGCTCGAGGCTCTAACTGTGAAGTGAGCCTCCGCCGCGCTCGCGCGTCCAAGTCGATGGTTTTCAACTTTGAGAATGAGAGTTTGTGACGAACACCTCTTCACTCTGATTGGTCGGTAAACCGAACCTAAGTGGGGGAGGATGTAACGGGGTACGTAGCCCTAAGTGTACCCTGGTTGCATGAAGTGTGACACTTCACACTTCAGGTGTATGACGCGTCATACACCGGGATATTTGGTACAAGGTACCAAGGTCGCTCAAAGCCAACCATTGGACAAACGACATTGCATTTCTATAGGTAGTTTTATAGTTTGTATTAAACCCAAACTTAACCTACCTATAAATATACTCCGTTTACAATCTACCTTATTTAGGTCACTTCACTCTCTTTAACTAAAGAGGGGACCTGTGAACTGCCGTTCACTGAGAGTTTGTATACTCTCGGAAGATAACTTCCTCTAGCGCAAGGTGCTGTGTGACCCCGTCACACTGAGCGAATGGTATGCATCTAGCCCGCTGGGCTTCTCCTGCTTGGAGGGAGAGTGGGAATCTGGAAGTGGCCTAGCGATCTGCTAGAAGGCAAATAGCACAAAAATCACCAATTAAATGCTAGACATTCACCATAAGACAGTTTATCTTCGATTACTACGTCAAAATCCGATGATGGATCAAAATACAAAAACCAATTTGACACTTTTTTTCTTTTATTTGGGGGGGGGGATCGTGATACCGACTTCTCCATGTTGTGCCGGACGATTTTTAAGACGGACAATCGATTTCTACCAATAAAATTGTTTTATTATTGGCCTTTCTTGTCTCCATGTTAAGCCGGACAGTGCAGAGACGTGCCTCTTCCACCGTCTCTTCGCAGTCTGAGATTCAATGGAAGGCGCTCATGCTGAAGAAACTGAGGCAGACGAACTCACCCAGCGGGCGAAGCCTGTAGGTCGCCCACGCCTTAACGAGAATGGCGGACGTAAACCGCTTAAACGAAAGGTGGGATCATACACTAACCAACTAAAACTCGATGCAGCGACCCACCTCGAAAAGCACAACGATGTCAAAGCAACGATTAGGCATTTCTGGCCGGAGCTAGACTCACAGCACTACGATAGCAGACGAAAATTAGTTTTAGACTGGAAAAAAACAAAGCTAAGCTAATGAAGGCGTGCTGCTTAAAGTACCCGAAGGCGCTACTTCTGTGGCGCAACCAGCAGATGTGGCGAAATGGATTGCACAAGGCTGGGAAATGCTCACGCCATCAGCAATCTCAAACGGATTTAAGAAAGATTCTGACGCGGATTTTGATAGACCAGGGTTGGAATCTGAAACAAGCACAGCAAATCAATAGACTCATTTTTTGTTCTGAAGTTCAAATTTTTTTTTATGGATCCAATCGGTGTAGATAGGGTGTCCGGCACAACATGGAGAAGTCGGTACAGGAACTTGTAAAATAATAAGACAAAATAGTCCGATTACGCCAGCGCTTGTCTCACTTTGCGCCTCTTTTTATCGGATCTTTTCATCTCAATACGACGATCAAGTGTAACATTTGGCTACACTCTTTTGGTCTGACGACTGAAATGGATCCAGCGAAAAATCGCACGTGTCCTGAGCAACTGGGTGAGCGACATCGACGGCATCGAGTGGTGATTCCAGAGAGTAAATGGTCGTGTGGTCGATTTCATCCGTGCTATATACATGTACGCTATTTACAGGTCGCTCTGCCGTTTCTCCCTTCCAGCCTACACTTCGCCAAGATCGATATATCACCCAGCTCGGTTTCCTTGTACCTTGTGCCTGTATCGCCGACTATTTTTGATACTTCAGTATTAGATTGCTTGACGAGCGTAACGGATGACGGCCTCACACCGAGGCTTTCACCTCGGAATGCGTGCAAACAAACCACATGGGCCACTGACGCGAGCATTTTTCGCGGCGCAGTAAGGACCATGTGCACCTTTGAAATACAGTACCCCTAGCCTAACAAAGTAGTACAATGAATGGTATTAAAAGTGCGTCTAAACCCATATCGATTAGTACTGATTCCTTTGCCAAACTATTACTCAATCTAGAAGCGATGAATGTATCAGTGACAGATTCACGCCACGAGTATGGGAGCTACACAAGGACTGTGTCATTCATATTGCGGTAGTTTAATGTGCAAGCAAATGATGTTGCAATTGAAAAATTGTTTATCCCTGCTTTATGGCTAAAAGCTTCCCTAAAACTCCAATACACAAGTATTAGGGTTGGATTTTGGTTCGTGGCATACTAATTCTAATTACTCCAGTCTGTCGATTCGCCGGTTCATTTCGAAAGGTATTCGATCCCCCCCTTTTTAGGGAGAAGCGATGATGAGCTGGCCTCCCTCCTCTGAACGGGCTTTTCCAGCCCCTCCGGAGGAAAAGGGCGACGGCCAGGAATAATAAGAAATAGTCTTTCTATCCTTTACAAAG